TTCCTCAGATTTCTCTTGCAATCCAATGAATCTTGCTCACTTCTAAAAAGGAATTATCTTTATTGGGGTTATTCGGGAACTATCACATTCTAGAGGTAGTAAGGCTTCTGCCGTATTTAGTTGTGTCTTAATTTGAACTTAGTGTTTTTGTCTCGCTTGGTTGTGTTGATTGTGGTGCAATCAGAATGTTTAAAATAAAACAAAATAAAATAAAATAGTAGCGCTCGCGTCTACAGGAGCAAAATTCTTTATTGTGTACAATAAGTAAACATGAAAATACAAACTTCTTTAGCTAACTCCAAATATGGCGAAATCAATATAGGACACGTAGTTTTTCTTGAGTACAGGCATCAGAATGACAAATACACGTAATAACTCCCCCTTACAGCGCTCGGAATTTTCTATGTTGGCCAAGCACGGTGCTAAGGTATTTCTTTTTCTCATAAAGTAAGTTCTCCTTGAATTTGGTTGAGTTATAGAACCACGGGAGGAAGTCGTCGAAGTACTCTATTTCCGGTGACATCTGACCTTCCTTGAGTTCTTCAACCTAGAAAAATCGAAATATTATCATAATAAATATGAATGATGGAACGTACCGTAACAGGAGGCCTCGCTTCACAAAGTAGAAGGGAGACGAGTGCTATGACGCATAAGAGCATTTCTGTAACAAAATAAAATGTGAATCGACGGGTGACAAATCCGAGCATATGTAACGGCATAAAATCACAGCGATTTGAATATGGGCCATATGACGCCAAAGAGGTGTGGAGCAATCGGGCGAGGAATTTTGCTACAATTGCGCACCTCTCCGCGTCAGTTGCGCATCTATTTCGGGACCCGACATGAGTCTGTTTCTAGGCTTTCAAAAAAAAAAAACGCTTTCCCCCCTTACTTTCGGAAAACTTTACGAAGCCCCTTTTTGACCCTTATCAAAAACGTCGACCTAACCCAACTTTTTTTCGGGCCCACAAAAACAATATTCCTTTTGCCTTCTCGCCCCAAAAACGAAGTCCAGCCTGCTTCCATACAATCT